TGGAAATAAGCTTATTTGCTTTCTTGCCGCGAGTTATATGAGAAGATTTCTACCACTCACATATCTTTATGCTAATTATGACGCTATCGCCAGAAGCCAGCTAACTTAGCTTAGCAAAAAGACTGTTACCTTGCGACCAGTGGAGACACCAGGAAGTTACTGGTCCAGACCAAGTAACAGTCTGACGATGGAAAGCCATCTGCAGTACTATTGGACAGGTGACGTAGTATAAGGAGCAACACTGTGCGGAAGAGAGAGATGGACGGGTCATATAAACTCACGACTTTCACCCAGAAGACCACCGTTTGTGTCGGCGGGAAACCAAAAGTCGACACAAGTATGTCAAGTAAAAAACTTCCTTCACGTACGTAACGGGGGCTACATAACTGAAGTTACCCAACAAACATACTTATTTTAACCCAAACCATGACCAGCGTCCATATGCGAGGAGGGTTAGTTAACCGGCCCGGCAGCGGTAGCTTCATATTCCGAGCTGCAGATATGAGAGTGATAAACAATGTATTTAATTGCTCAAGTATCAGATATAATAAGCTGTCAAGGTGTTTATGTGGTAAAACAGTCGTCTTGTCTGTCTCTTTTTATCAAAGCCATGCCGCTCAATGCAATGCCATTCCAGCTGTAATTTGCTGACTTGGAATGTCCTGGTTTCAGGTGGGAGTCACTCCTACAATGCCACAATTTTAATCACCATCTAACCCTTGCTTCTGCTGATCAAATGACAGGGCAGTCCCAAAGCCGCAGAAAGAGACAGATGCTTTATCTCTGAGGTGAATCAAACAAGCCTTTTGTTTCCTGCCGTCACCCACCCATCTGCCTGTCTCTCTGCTCACCTGTCTGCCTGCATGTCAGTCCACTTTTTAAGACAGCGCATTAGTTTGTCAGGTTGTCCGTCTACATGTGTCTTTGTTACACCTGTCTGTCTGGCTGTCTTCTACCCCCCCCGTCTGTCTTTGTGCTTGACCGCGTCCGTCTACCTGACTTTATCTCCCCGTCTGTCTCTGTGCAACCTGACCGTTGTCTCTGGTCTTTTTCAGAGCGTGACTGGTTGGCTGCCCGACCTCTGGGCAGATTAGAGTTACCTACCGCAGAGCAGCTGGGCCACACACACACACACACACACACACACACACGCACACACACGCACACACACACACACACACACATAAGCATAAATGCACAGGCAGTTCATTCAGCCTCGCACTGGCCCTCAGCCCCTGGCTCGAACCGCTAACCAGCTCATCAGCACCACAGACCTGTGAGTGTTTAAGACACGCAAACTAATCTGATCTACGACGTATGTGCAAAAAAGATCCAGCTCCGCAGGCGAGGCTGCAGTATTTTTCCTTATTTTTAGGAGTTTACATCAAGGAGGAATTTGGGAATATGACAACATACCAGCAAATATATACTCATGTGCGCGCACACACACACACACACACACACACACACACACACACACACTATAATTACACTATTACACTATACAAGGGAAAGTAGTGGAAAACCCAGAGAAGAAGCAGAAAGAGAGGTGTAAATAGAAAAGTGGTGACTCACATTCTTGTGGCTACACACTAGCCACACACACACACACACACACACACACACACACACACACACACACACACACAGAGAGAGAAAGAGCCAAAAACACAGGGTTCCTGCCACATGAAGCCAGAGGAAGCAATGTGTGTGTGTTTGTGTCTTAGTGTGGTGACAGAGTAGGATGAGTAAAGCTCTATTTGCCGTCACTGATGTTATAGTTACTGGAGCTGTTGCTTTTAAACGTTATGTACTTTAAATGAATGAAACACATTAATCACTCTGTGTTCTGCTACACTGTCCTATAATAGGTTCAGGGAGTGATGCTGCTCCCCAGGATGTGGCTCAGAGGAAACTTGTTTCTTTGTTTGCTCAAAGTTTAGAGGCTCTTTTTAATTTGCTAAAACACACAAAGTTCTCAGTGACCCTTTATATCCTAGAATGAGTTTCTAAATCGCAAGACAACATCGTACCGTCACTGTCCCGCTAATCATTAAGGACGCCAAGTTATTTTTCTTATACATATTTCAATTATGGCTGCAGCTAATGTTTAGTTTCCTTATTGATTAATCTTACTTTTAATCCCTCAATTCAATTTAATTCCAATGAGATGACTTCAAATGTCTTGTTTTGTCCAACTAATAATCCAAAATACAAGGATATTAGTTTTGCAATGATATAAAAACAGAGTAACGGATAAAATCATCAAATCGGAGAAGCCGAAAAAGCTAATGTTGTCATCTTTGCTTACTCAAATAATTATTTGATGATCAAAAAAAGTTCATTCAAAAAGTAGTAATCGTCAACTAAAGGACTGTACAACGCTAATTTAAATGACGAAAAGCTAAAATTATTAATTTGAATAAATCATTGCATGCAGCATTGAGTCTTTACAACCCAGTTTTCCTCCTAAAGTGATTAAAACTGACACTGAAGGCTACACCAAACAAAGCGGGATGACTAAATGGTTCTGTCCTATCTGGGCTCTTGTATATTTTCATGTTCACGTGTAAGTTGATAATTCGTTCACAGATATCAGCATACAGAAAGTCAGAAAATCAAGTCAACTAATGTTAAGAGTGTGAAATAAACTCACACAAGAAATGAAAGAGTGCCACAATATATTGTTTTTTATCGTCATTGCGATGTCAACTTGCGCAATAAACAGTCTGCGAAAGACTGCGTTTTTTTACTTTTAATATAGTATCATTGCATTTTGTCTGATATGCGCCATGACAGACACAGGCATGCTCGTTTACTTCATAGATTAAATGGGGGTGAATCCTAAAACAACACATGAGTTGCAACGCAAAAAAACATTCATCAGGTTGAGAATGACGACAGATGTTATGTGCGTAGCGAGTGCGGGGTTGAGTGAGAGACAGAAGCTGAAATTATTCTCCGCATCTGCGAGTAAGCGAGGGTCCACGGGATGCACGTTTTGTCATCAGAGGCATAGGCATGCATCATCCGCATGCCTCCAATTTATAGTGACTGTGAGGCAAATACACTACAAGCTGCACTAACTGCGCATGCACTGGAAAATCTAAATGGACTTTTGGAGTTTGAAGAGAGGCTGTGTGAAGAGGTTCATACCGGCTACCCACGTTTAGAATTCATCATTAGAGCAAGATTAAGACGATCAAATGAGCAACAATTCGTGGAGGGAAATTGCCTGGAGTTTGAACACATTCTCCAAGCAGACTCCAGACAGTAGTATAAAAATAAATACTACATGTCCGTGGTGTCCGCAGCTGTGAGTGTGACAGTGGATGCAAGAATTGAGTAAGTAATATCCTTATTGCAATATTCAACAACTTCATTGCATATGAAACCCAGGTAGAAAGTGAATATCTGGCCTGTTTGCTACCTCCCAGTCAGTTGGTTTCACTTCCATCGCTGTCGTTTTGATGCTCAACATCTGACTACTTCATTGCACTTCATAAAGTTTAAACCAAATGTTCCCTTTGTTACACCTCCATTCCAGAAACCCCACACACACACACACACACACACACACACACACACACACACACACACACACACACACACACGCACCTCAGAGAGTCATCCAGGGGCCACCCTCATTACCCAATGCACAGGTGCCGGGAGTCTATTCTGGATGGACACGGACCAGACCAAACTTTTGTTTTATACATGAACACACACACACACACACACACACACACACATTCTTCTACACACCTCAAAGCCACTGGGGCTGAACTCTGTGGTTAGTGACTTCCCCACCCACTACACAGCATGCACATGCTGAAACCGTTAACGATAAGTGGCTTTTCGAACTTGGTAACGTCCTAATGTCCCCGTTAATCACATTCCTCACTACAAAGGCCACAGAACACCGGCCAGCGACTTCACTGGGATGAGCAATTTTGTCAACTACTATAAACCAGTAAGCTACATTTTGTTCAGTGTACCTTTGGCCCTTCTGAGTACCAACACAGGGCAACTTCAATCTGAGCAACATCAAAACATTTGTTCAAACGTTCCTGATGAAAACCATGTTGGAAACTTTGTTTTAGGTGAGATCCCGCCGTTTGTTCTGGTGCTCCACTGTGCTCTTACTGTATCTGCACAATATGGCATTGAGTGGCCATTCATTCTGGATAGAATGTTTTTTTAAGATTTTGATGATAGCCACAAAATTGTAATGACTACATAATGGGTGAGAGGTGTAGCAATATCAGTGTGGCCTTTACACCAATCAGACCAAAGAAAGATGATTATTCATGTGATGTTTCAATGTTTTGATAAAGTTAATTTTCATGTCTGTGGCTACATGCATCACTGGGAACAGCACTGAGGTCATCATGTCAGTGGATTGTGAGAAAGTATTTGTAATCCTTCTGATATGCTAATTAATGACACTTTACTGCACCTGATTGATTCAGGAGGCTCATGCCTGCCCCCACTTCTGTTCATTTCACCCTTCAATATCCCCATGTGTGATGTTTTAGGGACATAGGTCAGTCTGGATATCAAAGCAGACTTAGTTAAAATAATAAAATAGCATTACGCAAGATGAAAAAACAAACAATATTTACACTGACCCCACTGAACTATATGGAATAATACTGAGAGAGATGCAGCAAATAGTGTGTTGTCAACAACACATGCAGTGATGGATAAAGTGGTAAAAATATCAGTAATGCACCTGAAGAAACAAATAAAACAAATGCAGGCTAATACAGGTTACTCACTTTAGAGAGTAAATTTCCAACTAACGTGATGAGAGGGTTGTTTTAGTGGTAAATAGCATTACAATCCTCAGTCACGGCTCTCTGTATTATATTTTATGATAAGATTATCGTATTATTTGTAGACACACAGGTGCTCCTGTCGACCGCTGACTGCAGGTCATATCTGACCTGAGGCTCGGTTAACACTCCTTAAATAAGGGACAACGTGGTCGTAGGTACCTGGAGGTGTCTGAAGGCAGTCGTTAGCTGAGTCATGTGCAGAGTGAGACACCTGGACGTGCATCTTGCGCTGCCGATTTTCTCCTGAACGTCCTCCTGCTCCGGTGAACTCCTGCGGGCACGAGTCACCGCCAGCACCGCGCACAGGAGCACAAAAGCGGTCCGACAAACTGACATGACACCGAAAGAGATACGAATGAAAGGCACGCACAAGTGTACACGGCAGACTTTTCTTCCTCGTGTCTCCGGCTCGTCAACGTCCTGCTCTCGCGACCCTTTACGTTCAGAATGAAAACATCTGAGCGCTGCTCCTGTCTGCGCGCGCGAGCAGTTAGTGGAGCGGCTTTTCCCTCCTCGCGGACACTCCCACCACGCGGAGTTATAATGGGGGCTTTTTTAACTTCAGTATATCCTTATCATCATCCTCATCCTCACAGCCTCTTCGATTTTATTCACTTCCTCCAATTAGTCTATCAATTATCATCATCATCCCTCAAACTATCACTCCCATAAATGCAGCTCATACCATGATCATCATCATCAGATTCACTTTTACCTCCCTCACCTTCCTTCTCATGTTTATTTTCTTATGCATTATTGGTGCTTATGCAATCGACCATCATCAAGTCAACATTAACCTTCACCATTACCTCACACTCTTACTCACTCCCTCACTCACTCACTCTGTGCACATTATCATTACCCTGCATGCCAACATTATGCTCACGGTCATCAAGCATCACTGTCACCTTCATCATCATCCTCACAGGTGCATAATGCAACAGGCTGTTGTTGGTCAGCTGATCAGCACCATAGTGCTATATGAGACATAGACCTTGTTTTGTTACTGTAGAAATAGTGCATGTGTAAATAATTAAATTAACGATGGCCGAGTTCCATTTAGCTGCTTCAGTTTCAAATCTTGGTATTGTTCGTGCAGGCTCACTGTCACACTCCCATTACTTGACCTATCACCTTTTATTTTTATCTTCCCCTCTTTATAATTATTAATTATCCCCATCCCATCGTCATCAACCATGATAACCATGATAACCCTGCATACCAGCTAATTTAAATCAACACATAATCATATTTTCTCTTGTTTCACTGATGCCCATGCAATTATGCATCATCGTCAACATGTTCATTATCTTTATCCTCCTCTTTTTCATCATCATTCTCCCCTCCAACATAAAGTTGATCTTAATATCTTCATTATCATCATTTACGGCCTAACGGTTTGCATGGCAGGCTATTGTTCCTGGTTTCTACGATTACCTTTGTGAACAACAAACTCCCCTTTATAGTCTGGGAATTCTCTCTGGTAATTATTAGAACAGACTCATTACAGAGCATTTATGTATGGCAGAGAGACCTGAAGCATTGAGGTAGGTGTCTGTCACAGAGCCAGTCAGTGTGGTAGTCACCACTTTTCAACAGCAACTGCAGAGCCAAGTGGGGTTTATTAGATCCAGGGCCAAGTCAAGATGTTTAGGAGACATGTTTGAAAGCCCAATTTGTTTACATAATTTTGTAACCCAGCAGAGGAGTCATCTTTGTTGGCCATGAGATGTAGAAATAATCACCTACGTTTTGATTTAGGGGAAATGGAAATGTATACATATGTATACAAAATTCAGATATTATTAGGGCTACAACAACTCATTATTTTATTTTTTGATTAAAAGTTGTGTCAAAAGATAGCCAGATCTGGCCGTTAGAACCAACTTGCAACAAGATCACCAGCACACGAGCAAAATCTGGCCAGGGGCCTAAAGTGTGTGTGTGCACCTTATGTTCAACCAAATAATGATATATCCCTTCAGATTATTTAATTTGAAGAACTTTTACAGGTCTAAACAGATACAAGTTTGTGAAATCAGGAAAAAAAATGTACACAATTTTGTACAACAGATGTATTTTTTGGTATTGTTCCTTATTCCCATAATCATCCTGTGACATCTTGTGATTTATCTTGGGGTCATTAGGGGGGTTCCAACCCCCAGTTTGGGAAGCACTACTACTACACCATGACCTGATCTAAACTGCATCGCTATACGACAAGAGAGAAAATATGTGATGTGCTGTGATACAAGTCACTGTGTTCAAAATGTGTGTGTGTGTGTGTGTGTGTGTGTGTGTGTGTGTGTGTGTGTGTGTGTGTGTGTGTGTGTGCGCGCACCTGACCTCAGAAGAACTATGGAGTCCTTAATTAAATCAGAAAGCAAGACATCCGTTCTTGCACACACACCTACTCTTTCTCTCTCTCTTTCCTCCCACTCACACACACACACACACACACACACACACACACACACACACACACACACACACACATCCACACACAGTAGTTGCCCATTATTTAAATGACCAAAATAATATGCTCAGATTTCTGAATAAACCAATAGCAGAGCAAAGACCCTCCCCAACACCCCAACACATACTCAAACATCACACCGTTTCACACAGACACACAGACACACACACACACACACACACACACACACACACACACGTGTACACAACAGAAGCATTCACCATCTGTCCAAATCTGTTCAAGAAAGGAGAACATTTTCCTTTTTTTTGGGTGGCTAGTCAAATTTATTGGGGTTGCTGCACCGGGTGACTTTGGACTCTAGTCCTATTTCTAAAATCCTGGCTTCAGCTCTGCAGCCATGGTTTTGTCAAGTAATCGGTTTTGTGTGGGGAGGGTTGTACTGTCTTTTCTTATTCACTACGAATAACATAAGGACAGATTTACATTTGTGAAATGGCTTTTCATGTTAACAGAGAAGCTTGAGTTTCATGATTGGTGTTAAAAAGGGAGGCTATATGTAACCCTGTGATGATGAAATCTTATGAACCGGTCTGTTTGACATCAGACTTCTCGACCTTCATCACAACGCACCACATGAACACATCTTATCACAACTAAACCCAGCAGAATTAACTGACTCTATGAACTGTGAAACAGACAAGCTGTTTCCAATTTTCAAATATAATCATTATGTGTTTAACATGTCACTGATCTAATCCAAACTGTGTCATCTACTGAATCCCAATGCATTTAACTGTTTCCGTAACAATTCGTACGTGTTGTTATTATTCCTGTCCAAGATTATTGAAGTGGTCAGATATTATTCCCTGCAGCTGGTAATACTCACTGTTCATCTGTTAGTCGTCTGATTTCTGTCTTCAACAGAACTGTTTCTCAAGCCATGGTCCAGGGACCCAAAGGTGGCTCAATGTGAATGCTTACAGTGAGTGAGCTTATCAAGAGCAAAGGAAGGCAGGCTTTCTGAATGGAGCTACAGTGTCACTATGTGGCATATCACAGCAATTGTTGTTTCAGTATTGGTTTCATAAAGGACCATACTGTACATCTGAGGTTTCAGGGAGTTTACTTAAACTTGGCATTGCATGATTGACAATCTTACTTTGAGGGTTAGCTTTTTGAAAACTCTATAAGCATTAGAGGAATGATGGTGATCGTTTGCAATATTGTTATCACACAGCACACCACACAGGCACCTTTTAAACACGGGGGATTATTTATTAGGGTTAATGTTTTAGGGAAAATTTAAATGATGTAACTCATATCAAACCAAATGCTCAGGAAAAACAGTATCAGCCTCACGTGACTCAATGGAAACTGAGATAGATGTAAAAAGTGTTTCTTACTGACAGATAGACAGTTTCTCCTCTCTCTGCTCTCCAGATAATTATTTGTGTATCCTCTAGCCAATCCTTCAGTCAGTGCACAGCAGATCAACTGAACATGTAAGTATTTTTATTGTGACTTTGTGCAAGAACACAGTTCAACAATACAATACTACAAAACTCGCGAAGCACATTACTCGTATGTTTCTTGTTTTTAATAATGAAATTATAAGATGCAATGTAAACTCTAAACTCTCCCTCATACAAGCTGCCCTTCTGCTGAATTGCTGTACATTTGTCTGGTTGTAATGCTTTAAAAGGTAACAAGGTGAGTGGAAAAATATTCGCTTAACTGCTGTAGCTACTTAAAATGTTGTGTAACGTTGATGAAAAGAATGTCACCAAGATAACCCACTCAGTTACGATACTGACTCCCAGCTGATCTTGTACTGTCTACTCCCTGTTCATGACTGCATTTGTCTTTCTCTTTAGAGGACATACTGGTACGCTGTGGGAATAACGATTCTGTATTTATCACCAGATCAACGTCCAGGCGCGCAGATTTCCACTCCAGTCCAGTCTGTGGCGGTAATTTAGCAACCAGAAGAAGAAATAGTCGTAGAAGAAGAAAGATGCGGAAGCGCTACAGGGTTTTCAGGGAATCTGTCAGATTAGAGTAACGTTAAGTATGTCAATTTGACGTATTTGGCTGTATATGACACATTTATTCCTAATAGACGGGCTTTATGCCACTAAATTCGTGTACCATAACGTTTCAGACACCAAAGAAGACACTTTGCTTGTGGGTTTGTATTATTTTTTCATCAGTTAGCGTCAAGTTTAACTAGCGTTAGTTAAGTTACGGGTACATTAACGTTACATGTTGACTTTATCTCTTGGTTGTGTGTTGTGATCTAACAGTCAGCTCTAAACTTCTATACTAATAACTATTCTATAGTTTTACATTAGATATGAGTTTACTACAAATTGTACCCAAACGTAAGCTAGTTATGTTTGTGTCACTACACAGTGTTAGCCCCAGTTTGTCTCTTGTGTAATAACTGTTAACGTAAGATAGCTAATGCTACATCAATGAAACCAATACAAAACAGTTAGCTTAATGTTAGCGAACGTTACCAATTAACGTTAACGCTACAGCTACACAAGCAACGGGTCTAACCAATTTGTACGACACGTTATGACATGTATTTGTAGACAGAGCATCTAATCATGTTGTTGAGATATATTTCTATGTTATATTGGTAGTCCCTCATTCAGAGAAGTTTAACGATAATTCAGTATTTCTAGTATGGATTGTTGTGTGTTGTGTAAGGATGATGCATAGTCACTGAAGACCTGCTTTTTCAAAATTACATTTATAGGAAAATGCCTAAAAAATCAAAAAAGAGAAAGCGCAAGAAGTCGTCATCCTCAAGTGAAGAAGATGAGAAGGTAAGAAGGTATTCAGGAGTGTTTTGTTGCTGTGGGCTGTCTAGCAATGCTATTTTAAGTCATGATATCAATACATATTGTGATATAATATCCACATGGTTTGTGCAAAACCCCTCGAACAATTATTCATGGGTAAGTAACCAATCAGGAATGTTTGTTTTTGGCTAGTCTAGCTGATACCAAAGTTCTTCGTCAAATTCATCCAAAGAAATAAGGCAGAGCAAAAGACGACAAACAGAGATATTACATGGATAGCTACTACAATATGGCAAAATGTCTAACTGAAAGTAAAAAACAAGTTTCATTATCAATTAATCTTAAAAAATGATGCTCGCAATTAATCATCTTGTCTATAAAACGTCCGAAGATACTTGTGAAAAATAGCCTTCACTGTTTCTAAAAGAAGAAATAGACCTATATCGATTGTAAATGTAATGTTTCTTTCCATGTTTTCAGTCATCCAGGGAACAAGATGTTACTAAGGATTACAAAAGTGGAAAGACGAAGCACGATGTAAAAAGTCAGGAGAGGTTAGATACAGTTTACTTGACTTTTAACAACAAATCAATGTTGATATTATGTAGTTGAATATCATTGACTTAATTAAAATGTTTGTTTATTATCTCTGAATGTGATATTTTCTTCTGTTCTTCTACATGTAGCTGTGCAGCAAAACGAGAAAAGTGTGAGAAGTCGTCGTGCAAGAAGTCGGCGTCCTCAAGTGAAGGAGATAAGAAGGTATTCTACAGTGTTTTGGTGCTAGGGGCTGTCTATATGGATACATTCCTCTGTTTCAATGCATGTTACTTTAAGTCATGATATCAATACATATTGTGATATAATATCCACATCAATTTGTGGAAAACCCCTCGAACAATTGTTCATGGATAAAGTAACCAATCAGGAATGTTTGTTTTTGGCTAGTCTAGCTGATACCGGACAAATCAAAGTGCTTCGTTAAAATTCATGAAAAAACAAAAAGGCAGACAAACAGAGATATTACGGGGATAGCTACCACAATATAGACGGTATGGCAAAATCTCTTAACTGTAGGCAGTAGGTCTGAAAGTAAAAACAAGTTTTATTATCAATTAATCTGAAATTATCTTCGCAATTAATCATTTTGTCTATAAAACGTCCAAACATACTTGTGAATAATAGCCTTCACTGTTTGCCAAAGAAGAAATAGAAATATATTGATTGGTTTGTCTGACCAAATAATCCAAACCCCAAAGAGATATTTATAAACCTGGAACCAGCAAATATTTAGAATTTTTGAATAAAACTAATTCATCATTTATCAAAGTTGTTTCAGATAATTTTCTGGTGAGCGAGAGAAATGTAATGTTTTTTTCCATGTTTTCAGTCATCCAAGGAACAAGATGTTACTAAGAATTACAAAAGTGGAAAGACGAAGCAAGATGTAAACAGTCAGGAGAGGTTAGATACAGTTTACTTGTTGATAATATGTAGTTGAATATCATTCACTTAATTAAAATGTTTGTTTATTATCTCTGAACGTGATATTTTCTTCTGTTCTTCTACATGTAGCTCTGCAGCAAAACAAGAAAAGTGTGCTTTGCCTTCCGTTAAAGATGTTTCCCAAAGCACCCGCCTCATCAAAAGGCCTGTCTACAGACGGTCAAAAACACAAGCAACAGACCAGAAACCTGTTCATAAGAGAGACCACACAAAACCAAAACGTGAAATTTCAGGTAAAGATAACACTGTCAGTAGGTGTAAGACTGCGGAAAGCGGACCCTCAAAACCATCGAACAATGCAGGTACAGTTCCTCAGAGGACAGAGAAGACGTCTAAAGGGAGCACAGATCAAAAATCTTCCCACAGCAGCACATCCAAATTGAAAAAGCAGCGAAGGAGTCCCATTTTAGTTTCTGCTAATCAGAAAGAACGGAAGAAGAAGTGCAGAGCTGAGGAACCACCAAGGACTAGAAATAAAAGCAACACTGTCGAGACCAGAGAACCAAGCAAGGCCTCTGTCTCTACGGATACTTCATGGGAGAAGAGAACAGAACTGTTCAAGAAGATGTGCCAACGGCATCAAGAAAATAAGGCCAAAAGGAGCTCGTGTACAGAGGCAAAAACTCCTTCTGTCTCTACCGCAAAGCATTCCTCCACTTCATCCAAGCAGACCACCTCAGTTAGTAGCTCAAATGTGGGGAAGAATGTCAGAACAGTCCCAGGGAGTTTCACATCGATGTCATTTAAAACAGTCAAGTCCTCATCTGTTCAGAAACAAAAATGCTGTCCTGTGTCAGCTCTGCCTCTCCAGTTTAAGATATCTAAAAAGGTTCAACCAAGACCAGCAGATAGCACCGGTAACAATAACGGCGCTAGTTCCTCAAACAGAAATCTCAAGCATGGGACTGAACCGCCAGACTCTGGGGCCTCAAGAAGCAAAGCCGTGCAGGAGACTGTCCAACAAGCTCACCGCTGTGTGGACGTTACACCTAGTTGTTCATCTGAAGGGCAAGATAAGAGGACGTTTCCGTCAAGCCAACCCCCAGCTCATACAGTCGCTGAGCCGCGGTATGCCCAGGTAATAAAAAGCATTATTCATTTCATCTGAACAAGCCAATGTTTGCTTTATTTATTTTTCACACAGAAACGATTCTAATGAAAACATTTTGTCAGCTAGTATATTGGAATTTCATCCGCATTATGTTGTTCAAATGTTTTTAGTTGTTTTATATTTTATTTGTTTTCTAAAATGTGTTTTTCTGTAGATGCAAGTGGTTGAAGAGCTTCATCTCGCCCGGTCTGAGAAGCGACTGGAGGTGAACGTGATGCAAAGCTATGGGGAGCTCACCTGTATGGAGATAGACCCTCCGGAAGAGGGAGCGGCAGACACGCACTGTACGTTGTATTGTTTGATTGAGAGACGCTTGAAATTGTGTGCGCTCATCCTAAGTGTAAATATAAACTCTTTGTGGGATGTAGTCTCAAATGGCCACACGGAGGCACTATAAGCTGAGTTCAAAAGTGTAAGCCTTGTAGTGGCCTCACTTTGAGGCCACTACTTAGTGTGATTAACATGAAATATGATCCATACATTTGATTTGCTTTTGCCTCAGAATGACGCGTGAAATGATTAAATACCAAAAGAAGATTCAAATTCTGATCTGTAACCTACACAAGCACTACACTTTGCCTGAAATTGTTATGTCCAATTTGATTCTGTTGTTAACTTTTGACAATTAACAACAAACTATATAACTATACATATGAACTTGCTTTTTTTACAGGTAAACCGCCTCAGCAAGACCTAATCCTTGTTTTGGACACCAACATTCTCCTCAGTCACCTGGATTATGTGAAAACGATCAGGTCTCACGGCCTTGGAGGTGTTTATGATGATTTTAATACTTGATTTCTTTTCCCATAGAATGATTTATGGTTATTTCATATGTTATATAATGACATTATAGAAAGTATCCAGTTAGTAAGTTGTGAGCCAAATGCTAGAAGTTCTTCTGCGGCAGTGGCTTAGCTATTATTTATTATACATCATCCATAGGTCTTCCCACCCTTCTAAACACATCTCCAGTTAAAAGGAGAAATACACATTTAACTGTCCATCTGCTCACAAAGACATCATTTCACCACACAATCAATAGTTGAAAAGGACATAATTGTTGAGGAATTATCATAAAAAACATACTCCAAGAAAGTAGGATTTCAATTTTTTGGGGGATTTATTTCTAGTTATAATAATAAAATGCACTAATGTTATGAAATATGGAATCATCAACACTTGTTTCCTCCCCGCTTCATGTTCTCTTAGCGCTGGGCGTCCCTACAGTCCTGATCCCCTGGGTGGTGCTTCAGGAGCTGGATTCCCTAAAAAGGGGGAGGGGCATGTCGGGTTCTGTGGCGCACCTGGCAACTCCTGCCATCTCGTACATATACAACGTCCTGAAGAACCGAGGACATCACCTGTGGGGGCAGTCTATGCAGCAGGCCGCTGAGGGCAGCAGTGAGTGTTTATATAAGGAAAATAAGGGAATTTTATGTGCATTGTTTACCTACAACCAAGTACGGAACCTAAAAGTGAATTAGTTATTGAGCATGGTACAGTGTTTGAGGTGTGTATTACATTGACACTATTGCATTATGCACTTATATAAAGCTTTTTGACCTTTACAGTAAGGTATTACAATTATCACACACAGCTACAGAGCTGCCGTGCATCCGTGCCCAACACTTACACAAATACTAGGTGGCAATATCACTAAGCCAGTCCTCCAGAATTCATCATCAATGCGTACATATTGTGAATCTCATGGGCAGGGTTCACTTCTTAGCTGTATATAATATTTATCAGACAGTTGTTTTTACCAACAGTGGTGTAAGGTTCTCGTCAAAAAGATGTGTGATTGAGATTTAGCCGAGGTATTGTTTACTATTTAGGAGAATTAGTGCATCTCTTGAAATAGACTTGAAGTCTCCATCTCGTGTTCATCTTTGAATCTTCTCACTTTGTCTTTGTACGGTGTGGTAACACGCTAACCATGAGCGATCTCTCTTTAACAGACTGTTGTGTTTTTCTCTGTCACTCTTGTCGTTCTCTTCCTCTCTCTTTGTACCTCCTCGTCCCCAGATGGCCTAAATGCTGAGAATAATGATGACCGGGTGCTGCAGTGCTGCCTGCAATACCTAAGTCTGTACCCAGAGTGTGCTCTCATTCTATGCACGTGAGTTCTCCCCCCCCCCCCGTGGCATATACTGCTGCTGCTGCAGAGTCTTGTGTCCTCTGGAAATAATGCACATGCATGTGACTGTGAGTGGGCCCAGCCAGATAGTTCCAGTTCACGAGAGAGAGGGCCAGACAGAATAATTGGGCAAGAATAGATGTGCTGAGCATGGAGAGTTCAGTTCAGGGATTTTCTTTTGGCTTGCATAGTGGGGCGGCCATTGTATTGTTTCACCTTCTTTTTCCTTTTGACCTATTTCTCTGACTGCCACTATTTCCAAATGCTGTTACTGATCATTTTGCTAAGTTAAAGTAGAATTTGTGGCCAGACATTCGATTAATGTTGCACAGCTTCAGGTCAGATAACTCTGACTTTGATGCTAAAACATGTTATCCTCTCTTTCCTCTCTAGTAATGATAAGAACCTATGCAGTAAGGCCCTCCTGAGTGGAGTGGAGGCCCTGAGCAAGAACGATTTGGAGGCCGAGATTAGAAAGCACAGACATGGCTTTCATCCTCTGCGAAACATTAAGACTCCCATGCTGCCCCACGTCAGCCCTCACCTCCCGTCACCAATGCAGAGTGGGAGCTGTACACACAGTCAGGAGACGACAGGCCTTTCTGTAGAAGAGAGAGGTGAGCCAACGACTAATGTGTACCTTTTTTTTGGCAAAACGGGAAATGACCTAACGTTTTCATCATGGTGTAATAGTTCACAGCACATACCATCCATGCCCTCGCCATTTCTTCACAGCCCTTCTAGTTTCCATGTTTTATTTTCCTCACTTCAAGTCCATCTGTATCAAGTGTTTAATTCAGGTGACATTTTAGCAGTTTTAACAAACAAAACATACACAGACTGGAGGGTGTATCTGTCGTGTAACAGCTGCCATATCACCTAGTGTGTATTTTGTGCTGCCATATGCTCTTCTGCTGCAAAAATGTCCATATCATCTTTTGTAAAAAAAGAACTGCTCCCCTGCATTATGGGTTTATTTTTTGTATCCACTCACATACCGTATGTATGTATGTAACACAGATAACAAGCGACTGAGCACACGAGAGGATGAAGAGAAGACCCGATGGAACCCCAGCAGTGTTTGTGAACTCGAGGACTGCCTGCGAGACGTGCTGTCCGATGTGTTGGAGGTGGAGATGAAGGCCAACTACGAAGACCTCTGGCTGGAGGTAAAACTGTGAATTGGAATTTCCCATTATCTATATTTTAATTACTGTTTCTAAATGCATTTAAAACATTGAGAACTGATATCTGGTACTCATGAAGGGATTAAAGGAACTTATTTGGTTTATCTTTGCATTATTTCAAGGCATCTGGTCGGTCATTTTAGATCAGATTTATATTTTTGTGGTGGAGTATATATAGGCCAGATTGCTCGTCATTTTGAACATTGCAATATTTTTAATTTTGGCTTATTTTTATTGTGTCGTTTCTTCTGTTAACAGATAGTTTACCGAAAACCACCCTGGACTCTTCAAGATGTCCTGCAGTGTTTGAAAAAGCACTGGATTGCTGTCTTTGGGCACATTGTCCCACGGAGGAAGCTGCAAACTGTTCTAAACCTCATCGAATTCTTCAACTCAGGTATGTGGGTGGAAGAGGGGAGGGGCTTTTCAACAGTCTGCTAGTGAGCTTACATTTGTTTCAATGTTTTTCTTTCTATGAACAAAAAGACATTTGTTTTTTTAGCCCAGGTAAAGATTTCGAGTATGGTCTTGAATCTTGAATCTTGTTGCAACTGGCACCATCTTCAAGGTTAATTAAACAATCCACTATATACTGTATAATGAAACACATCTCATGTTCAATAAAAGCTAGTAAAGATATGATAAAACAAATAGATGATACATGAAACAGATACTAGTGGTAGCAGAGCCTCACCTGTCATGAAAAGTAAAAAAACAAATAATGATCAAATAAAATATTAATATTTCTCTACTGATCTGTGCTATAAATGTAATTTCTGTATGATTCCAATCATTTCAAGCATTTTTATAATCAAAATCGCTGAATTTGCGCATGTCCTGTTCAAACAAAGAGGAGGCACGCGAGGTGAGGCAGCGACGAGCTGTACGTGCCTCACCTCAGATTGTGCAATCCTTCACAAACTGGGTTGAGCGCGTGCCTTTTGCTTTCTCATTGTTTGTCACCACTGTGATATTTGTAAACACTTTTGTTATACATCCTTTCTTTCCATAGAATAGGTCATGTACTGTATTTCACGTATGTGTAGAACATATTTAGTCGTTGCTGATCTGACATAAAACCGCAGTGAAAAAGCACAGAGGGGAGGCACACAGTACCTCTGCCACAATGAAGGGGGCGCGCGAGGGCCCACGGGTCGGGTTTATGCTTGTTCTGCCGTTGCTCTTCTTCTACACTTCTCTTCTTCTTCTTGTATTTTGCTTTGACCGCAAAAATCTGTCGGAGCCGGATCGCGGCGCACACGCTCCCGGTGGAATCAAATATGTACCGTACCTGTGTGTGTGTGTGTGTGTGTGTGTGTGTGTGTGTGTGTGTGTGTGTGTGTGTGTGTGTGTGTGTGTGTGTGTGTGTGTGAAGAATGCTGATATGAAATATGAAAAACAACCAGCACTCAATGTGCAAGCTGCCAATTGAATGGTGATTTAAGCTACTCTCTTGGGTTCATATATTTGTAAGAGTCAGTGCCTCACCAGCCACGAACCTCACTGCACGTCACTGTCTTGGCCATAGTCCAAGCACTCAGTGTGCAGCTGGACAGTAACTTGAGAAATGTAACCAAACTTAATATGTAACTCAGTGAAGAAATGAACAATCTTTTCCACATCGTCCAGAGAAATAAATCAAGCCTGGTTAGAACTGAGTTCTTGTTTTTAGCTGTGCTTTCTAACACGGCTTACAGAGTGTGTTAACCTCTTACTTTGTTTCATTTAGCATCATCTCTGCTGCTGGTGTTTGGTGAGGCTCGATGACATCACACACTGTAGATGAAAACATTTGATACCAGTTTTATCGGAGAAGATTTTAATCTTCCTTTGAATGTGAACAATAGATTTAGAAAGAAAACTAAATATTGAGCTACTACATGAGATACGATACAACATTTCACATCTGTGGAAGCTCCCAGAGGTGTCTAAATGCAAAGGTATTCTCTGTGCCACTGTAATAGTTTTAATACTGCATTTGTTTCCTTTTATGTTTCTCCGGACATCGGCTTAAGATACTGAGTCATCTTAGTCCGCTGGGGTATGACGTGGTGTTCCCTGCACTGCGCTAGAACCCTACAGAACCACATACACAATCAGGTCGTCTGCTAAAGCAGGACACTCAAATGTGTGTCAGAAAGATGCTGAGTTGTCCACTGCAGCACTTCTTGCCCTGGATCTCATGACTCAATCTAATTACATTACGCTTACAGTTCTGTGTGTGTGTTTATGTGTGTGTGTGTATATGTGTGTGTGTGTGTGTGTGTGTGTGTGTGTGTGTGTGTGTGTGTGT